ACATTTTGGGGTTATACTTTTTATTTATTTAGCTAGGTATTCTTAGCCACTGTAGAAAGTGTACTAAAAAGTGCCAGAACACTTTAAGGTCTTCATCCAAGTTTATCACTTGAGCTTACTCTTCTGTATCAAGCATCCTTATTTCAAGGACATGCTTTCCTTTGTTCATCCTTGCATAAGGAAGAGAGAAGGCTTTGTGTCTCTATAACCACAAAAGACAGGTACGTACTCAATGTGTGCCAGTTGCTATGTTCCTCCACTGGCTTATGTTCAAGGCCTCGTACTGCATCGCTGCCTTGGATTCTTTCTGTCTGTTCCTTCTACCCTCTGCCAGCAATCTCCAAAGAGCAGTTGTCATTTCAAAGTGTAAATAAAGAAGGGAAAGGCATGTGAAGAACAGATCCACTCCTGGCTATACAAAGAGCTTTCTTACGTAGCTATCTGCCTTGGTCATTGGGAGGGGTGAGCTACTGGAGACTCAGCAGTGCCCACAAGAAGTGAACTCCAGCTTCTGGATGTTCTTCCTCTGCATCTAGAGGTCATTCAGAGCACCTTCCCCCACTCTTCCCATATTTACTATAGACGAAGTAGCAATGTGAGATGAAAATCAATGGTCTCCTTTAAAAGGAAATGGAGTAGAACTGTATATTTGTCGAACCTTACAAATGCACCCTGAACCTTTTAAAGATGTCTTCAATGTAATAAAGCATAGTAATAAACATGACAACCAAATTTTACATTGATTGTGCAATCAGGTACATTTATTAGCCAAATTGGAAAGTTTTGGCTAAACATTTAGTCGTCCTTTTTATTTTCACACACACACACAAAAGATGGAAATATTCACGCATCAAACCTTTTTCAGAAAGAGCTTGCCATTTTTTACAGACGATTAATCTGTTATCACTCCTTTCTAGGTGAGTGGAAAGAAACTCATTTTTGTCTAAAAGTTTTGAGAGCCAGTAAGTGAGGAAGCACAGACTCCATCTGCCATTGCCAGCTTCTGACTGCAACCTTAGCAATCAGCTGGAGGATAATGGGTTGTCCTCCCATCTTCCATAGAAGGAAGGATGGAACTGAGGTTATCAAAATGGGGCTGATAAGATGCTAAGAACTTCAAGGAGGTCATGGACTTTCATTGTTACAGCCTGTGGGTCTCACTTCATTAGCCTGTGTTAATGCTCCTCTATTATGTAGTGAGTCAGTTCTTTTCTTGCAAGGTTTGCTTACTATACTATTTATTCATCAATTAGTTCACAGCTTATGACACCACTTCTTTCTGTTCAACTATGGTCAGTTTACTTGAACATTTTACAATTCTCTAGTTGAACTGGCATAGAAAAGTTTTATTTTTAGTGATTTCAAGGTAAATTTTAGTATCTTTGATGAAAATTCTCTAGCCAGAAGATAGTAAATGCTAATACGTGTGAAAATAAGACAAGAGGCGTATTGACCTTTGCTTTCATGGCTTTGGCCTCCATTCTGAAGTAAAAGAGACTCTACAGTCAACTCCAATGAAAAGGAATCATTTCTGTGACAAAATAATGCATACTTCACCAATTTCTGAAGGAGAAGGGTGAATATATGATCAAGCTTGCACTTGAAGCTTGTTGAAGAGTAATTAATGCAAGTTAACATACTGCAAAGGTAATTGTTTCAGAGGCAACCCTGGGATTTACTGCCTGAACTCAGCACTACTGGAGCAGCCAGCAGAGAGCCTTGAGTGAAGGAGATCACTCCTCCACTGCCAGGGTCCTATCCTTGGGCTGGTGTTCCTTCACCAGCCCTGCTGTCTCTGCTGATCAGGTTCACTGATTTAGCAACGTGGTATCAAGGGTAAACTGCACTGTCCTCAGAACCTTGGGTCTGCCTCTCTGATGTAATGCCTAGCAGAAAATCAACGTGATTTTTGTCTTGGAAATGGCTTAGATGTTGTGAAATGCATCAATGGAAAGGAGAATATAGGACCTAAAGATGGGAAGATTTTCTTGAACTAGCTTTGAAATAAGCAGTACTTTGTCATTTGATCCTGGGGCTTATTTGTGTTTGCTCAAAAGGTAAATATTTATAAGAAGGTGGTGGTATTTTACCTGTTGAAACTGGAGACAGAGGCAAATATTGAAGTATTGCTCATTTGTATTCTTTGTGTGTGATGAATGAGACGGTAGACCTGTGGAAGTAATAGTAAGCAGTAATGCAGTTAAGAGATTGGGTTTATAATACATGCCTAAAAAAGAGAAGCCAGATGTTTCACAGGCAGTGATAATTTTGGCAGCAGTTAAACTTGAAATGTTTGGATTTAGTTTTAGTTGCATTTTGTGAGTAATTAGATAGAGGTTTGTGGGTGTATTTATATGCCTACATTTTGTTTGAGCTTAAAGCTAGAGACAGTGTCATTTTTGACATCTTGGAAGTGAAATATAACTGCTTTTTAAACTCTTCTAATATTCACTGTAAATTCACAAATGCTTTGCAGGTTTAATAAAATGTTCATAATCTTAACTTACTATCTATTTAAATAACTACTTGTCCCTTCATAGGTGAACATTCAAGCCAGGTATCTGTCAGAAGTATGCTCCCCTAATTTTATTCAGCTGAAAATTTTATTTTTTGATTTTCCTTTAAGCCTTTTCCTGACTTTGTTTAATCTGAAACTAGAACTAGACAATCATAAATCTAACCATTTTTGCACTGTCAGAAGCCACAGGGAAAACCAGCGATCAATCAGGACCAATTTCACAAGAAAAGGAGGCACTTTCATGCCTTGTCAGGGTTTTTTAAATTATATCCTGGGGGTTTTTTTTCTCCTTTTTCCTCTACCAAACCTCATAACAAATAGAAATATATACTAATTATTTGCTGAAATGCAGCATTCAATCTCATATCTGAGCAGGTTGGCCTTTTATTTATGTGTTTAGACATGTATATATAAAAATGAGGTGGGGGGCAAGAGAGAGACAATGTCTGTTAATGGAATAACTTTTAAAAGGAAAAAAAAAGTCTTCAAGAAGAGGAGTAGAACAAAAAAACCTTAAAGTATGAAGTATTTAATTAGGTGTGTCAATACTAAAACATGTAGTGAACACAGAACATTAATTTGGTAATAATTACAAATAAAAGTTCTTTTGACCCAAAAAGCGCATACACTCACCAGAGTAATTTATTTTGTTCAAGTTGACCAATTATTGTATTATTTCTCTTAATATGTGAAATGGTTTACTCCAGAAATAAAATATAAATGGAACTTCTGTGATAAATTTGTCGCAAAATTGTGTCTAAAAATGTTTATATTATTTTAAAAAAGCAGCTTAAATGTGAGACTATGCAACTCATTTATTTTTATGTTAATTCTACTTCTATCCATAGAAAACTGGATCAAAATGCCATAATAATAACAACAATAACAATATCATCCCTTGGAGTAATAAAAATCTATAATCTAAGAGTAAAAAATCTATACAATTGTTTAAGGTAAACAAAATTCAGGTTTTAGAAAATTTGCAAAATGTTATTGCTATTCTGACAATCATACCTCTTGCCACCTGCAAGACACTTGACTGCTAGTTAAAAACCTTGGTGCCATGCCAAAAAATATCCTGAACGTTATTCCCTCATTGCTCACATTACTGCAAGTGCCAACTAAATGTAAGTTCTGTTACTCTTAGAAGTGATTTACTACCTAATCTGAAATTACTTGAGAGTTTCAGAAGCAAAACTATGTGGTGCTGGTAGATAGTGTAGAAAAAAAAGAGTACCTATTCCTCCATTCTGTTAAACCCTGACCCAGTGATGGGAAGGAAATAGTTTAGATGATGGTTACTTCTTTAGCTAAGTGCCCTTTTCTTTTAGAATCATTGAATAGTTTGGGTTGGATTTTCTTCCCTTAAAGTCTAATGGTTTAATTCAAAAAGTTTTTGTGAGACTTGGAGGGAAAAAAGTCTCTTGATTAGAGACCAGAGATGGAAAAAGTCCAGGATCTTTGCAATTCAAAAAGGTGTCAGCAGATGAAAGCATAGAGGAAGAAGAGGAAATTGCTGTAGGTTGGGGAATCTACAAATAGAGGTGATAACCTTCCCACCTAAAAGAAATAGCTACATTTATTTTTTCCTGGATATTTTGAGGTATGTGAAGAGGGACATTTATCTCAGGATAATAAGGTCTAAGTCTCTACTCTGAAATGACTAATCTTTATGAATTTTTAAATCGTTGTGATTTTAATGTATTTGTGTATGTTTTTTTAAGTGTTCTAAAACTTTGGGAACACTGTAATGCTTTGGGCCTTCATTTAAGCATATCACTGATGTCCAGACTGCGCATTTCTCAGAAATTTGTGGATGGCGGTGTAAATTGTAGTTCACAAGGATGCTTGTCTTGAAAACTTTAATTAAAGACCCAGAATTATGAAACTAACTGAGAACTGGAAGTATTCAGTATCAATTTTGATATTCTTTGTTTATTAAATTTGTTCAGAGCAGAAAGAAGACAGGAAAAAATTGAACTGGTGTAGGTGCTCAGCTGTACAGTATGTAATGTAGTGAAATTGCTTAACAAGAGGACTGCTTACTGCAATACATGTGAAGTGTGTTAATTTTATTGTGCATTTGGAATAAGATCTGCTTATTTCAAGTCAAGGAAAAACAACAGGCTAAATATGAGTGGCTTAGAAATACCGCAACCATACCCCATCCGCTATAAAAAGTCTCAAAGTCTACCATTTTCTCAACTAAATAAATTAATCTCCTGGTTTCCAAGAAAGCCCAAACTGTTGCATTTAACATCTACTTTTTTAAATCTATGTGGATGCACCTGATGTCTATGACTTAATCTTGTTTTCACATAATTTTCCCATTTAATTGTTGGTAACATGCAGAGCTGTATCTCTGAAATACCAGTCAGCATATGTTTGTTTGTTATATTAGTTTTGTTCTCAGTATTTATTTTGAAGTTACTCTTTGCAGTAACCTCCCCCTCTCTTTTTCTTGCTTCTTTTCCTTGTGCAGAGGATTACTACTTCAGGAAAACAGCAGGTTTTCAGAGGCGTTGCATTACTATAAATTGGCAATTGGTAGCAGACCCACACTAGCATGTAAGTATTTCAACTATACAAGCTTGCATAATATTGACTAGGGTTTTCTCTTAGGGAAATCTTCCTAGTCTATAGTAACACTTTTTTTTTTTTTTTAAAAAAAAAGGTTTTAATTCAGAAAGCAAAAAGTGAAAATGTGCACTTTTTGTTTGAAAGCAAGTGTTTATTAGTCAACAACTACATTTAATGTAGTGTAGGGAGGAAGCAGATAATGAGTTAACACTGGACAGCACTGCTTCTGATCTGGGGTAGTGAGCCATCAGTGCTGTTGCCCAAATCTTCAGTCTCCTGTTTTCTGTTTCATATAGCCAGTCCCTGATTTTTGAGGTATGTGGTGTGGTTAATACAAGTATTTTTGAAGTCCTTTCACTTTTCCTGTCTTGCCTGGGGGAAAAGGGAAATAATGCATAGGATGTTGCTAGCAATCAGTTCCAAAATTAAGTGGATGCTTTTTAAGATTGCTGTGGTTTTTTTGTAGCTTCAGTATTAAATCTTCTATATATGTATATATACACATACATGTATATATGTATAAATATATGTATATATTTTTGTAACATTTCAAACACTGATGCTATATGCTTCATACAGTCCTAAAAAGAGGAACAAAATGGAGCACCCTGCCTAACCAGTGTTCCCTTCCCTCCTTCCTCAGTCTTTATAGCCACTTTCTCTTTAGTTATCTCTGAACTTTTACCTCTTCTATGTTCCTCTTTATACCAGTGAGTGATCTACACTATACAAACCCCAAATTAGATAACCATGGGGTCTCTTTCAGATACTACTTTTAAGTAATATCTTTCAGATATTACTTTGAAACATCAGAATCACATCAAAAGATAATATTTTTTCCCTCTTCGCAGCTGCCTATTTAAATACTGGTATCATCCTGATGAACCAAGGGAAGACAGAGGAAGCCAGGAGGACTTTCCTGAAGTGTTCAGAGATCCCTGATGAAAATTTGAAAGATCCTCATGCCCATAAAAGCTCTGTTACTAGTTGTCTTTATAACTTAGGAAAACTTTTTCATGAACAAGGACACTATGAGGTAAGACTCCAGATTTGTCTTATGTAATGATAAAACTTTCATATGTAAGTAATAGCTATTGCTTCCAGCCAGACTTTCAAAATACATCACAGGCACAAATTGATTGAATTTCACCAAATCAAGATGAGCATTCTCTACAGAGAATATTTCTTCTCTATAGCCACAGGTGTGACGACGTTAATTAGCAGAGCGATGTTCTGATGTCAGAGTCAACATTAGCAATGGCCACATCTGTTACATGTTAATTCATTCTTTTTGGCTTTATCCCCATAGCTGGTATGCAAAGAATATAGCCTGATTACAGACCAGCTGATCTAAAGTGTACTGGCTTTTTATTCAAACCAGAATTAAGTCCATCTTTAGTTGAAAAAATGCAATTATGTTTGCTTTCTAGTCTCCAAAAATAAGACCTAGTTGGAACAATTCGAAACTTCAGTGATTAAGAACATCCCACTATGTGCTATTTTCAGATAATTTAAGTGCTGATGTGGGTTAGATATCTTTAATGTAACCCTATGCTGCATTTAACCCATCCCATTTCATTTACATGTGCAAATGTGACTGTTGTGATTCCTCTTCGTTCTCCCTGATGAAATTACTAAAACTGGACATTTGATTGAGTTTTTACTTTTAGCAGTATTTGAAAGAGTCATTCTCCCTTTGCCTTGCCAAGCATACTTCAGACAGGAGTTACGTGTGGTTTTGATCCATATAACTCTTCCTGACCACGGCAGTTAACTCAGCTGTTTAAGATCAGGCATGCACAAGCTCTGTGGATTCTCTGTCATCTGTATCCAGCTCTGTCAGATGGCAGTAATAATTGGTTAAAACACAGAGAGCTAATACATCCATAAAGATAAGACAACAGCAGCATGTTGTCTCCACAGCCAATAGATCATAGAGTAGGAGTTCAGTGTCTGGGAGGTGCAAGGGATTTTATGAATATATACTATCAGATTTCTGCTTGGTGATCATTGCAGTCTGATCCAGCCTTGAGTTGATCATACTCTTAGATTTTCTTAAGTGTATTTCAGCTATGACCATTTGATGGGATCATGCGGAACATTATGGAGAGCTAACAGACTGACCAGTAAGCATACTAAGTATTGAATGAATCATAGATGTGCGATCAAGTAATTCAAGGCACAGCACATCTGCGAGGGAATCCAATTTTGGCATTCTTGACACTAGTCCATCTCATTCTTTCTATGGAGCAGATTTCATTTGTGTAGATTATGTTTTGTCATTACTTGGTAGTAGACAATATTTTTAGGTCACTTACTGTAACTTAGTCATCAGAAAGTCCTTTTTTCTGCAGTGTGATATTATTCCGTATTCTCTGACAGCCTATAGAATATACGTTTATAAACTCGTGAGTCTTTGAGGGATATAAAAAATGTATACTTGTGCCTGGGAGAAGAGTTGCAATATTGGAACTAATTTGATCTCTTGTCAATAAGCTTCACTGACTTTGGAAAAACTTCTGTAAATGAGAAATTTGATGTTTCTCTCTCTTGAAGTTTTGAACTTATGATGTTGTATTTTCTTACTCTCTGCACCTTTCATTTTGAAAGGAAGATAGTTCGGTTTTACTGTATATGTGAAAGACTGCTTTTGATATTGGTGCTTTACTAATGATTTGTCCCACTTGTGTGTCTTTTCAGGATGCCCTTATGGTTTACAAAGAAGCAATACAGAAAATGCCAAGGCAGTTTGCCCCACAGAGCTTATACAACATGATGGGTAAGTGCATTGTTGCTGCCTCAGATAGACAATTAAGGAGTCAGGCAGGGTGAAACAAAAAATCTTAGCCAGGCAACAGGTGCTAAAATGAATTAGCTAATAAAAACAAAAATAATTGCCTTCAGTAAATACAAGCCAAACCAGGTTCAGAGCTTAAATGCCAGCAACTGCAATGCTTAAGGCATACTAAATGATAAGACTGTTAGCTACTGGATGTCTTTAGGAGTGTCCGTGCAGCAGTTTTACATTTATAATGCATGGAGAATTAAGTGGAATTCTCTCTGAAAGGGCATTTGGTTCTGCTAAGCAGCTGTGGAGTCTGGCCCAGTAGACTCTGTGAGCTCCTATCTAGGACAGAAAAGGGTGTAAGATGCTTTATTTTAAAGTAGTTCAAAGTAGAGTGATTAAAAATATACGTGGAAACAGTTAGGATCAACAGGAAGCATGTGGGGTTTTGTGGTCATCCCTCTCTCCTCTCCCCTCCCCGTGCCTAATGTATGAGGGAATGTATCGGTTGATGTCATTTGGTTTGACACAGTTGTGGAAAGGAGGCACCACTCCTCTCTACTTATTCAGGAAGACATCTTTTATTAGCTCCTTACAAGTACTAGGTCGTAGGAAAAAAATACTCTAAAATTGTAGTTGTAATTGACGCTATGTGTTTGTAAATGCTAAATTAATTTATGTCTCTGTAAATGCTAAATTAATTACTTTTCGTGCCTTGATAGTGACAAAGTACCTAATGTCAATAGTACTATAAACACTTCCTTAACAGCTCATATAATTCAATGGAGAGTTACTTCTCCCTGAATGCTAAGCTTTATCATGTTAATACAAATGGCTAAAATCTCCAGAACACACAAGTTGATATTTGCATGTACTTCACAGGTAGGCTTAGTGGAGCTATTGTTTTATCAGTTTTATTTATCAGGATTTGCTGGTAAATTTGGTGGGGTTATCAACAGTCACCACTCTGTGTGACTTAAACTTCTTGCTATCAGTGTCCTATAGTGACTGAAGTACTGGAGTGCTCCAGCGAATCCTCTGAAGTTTGACTGCCCTCTTTAGTGCAAATATATATTTCATAATTCTGATAAAAGTGCTCCTCAGAAATACAGAAATTGGAAAAAGTAGACCAGCGTTGTTTCTAGCATGATAGTTGTTCCACTGCAAAGTGGACCTGTGCCACTCTTTCTTTTCCCATTAGAAAAACAGTATGCTCTCTTTAGAACCACTATGACCTATAAGATTCTTTAGTTCCTTACTTTTTTTTGCCCATTGGTTACTTTTTTAGGTTCAGAAGGCCTTTCTCAGCTGCCTTTGTAAGCACAGTCCATGATGTACAAGTTCACTGTGTTCCTGGGATTTGCATTTATTAACTCAAAGCGATAGTGAACACAAAGACCAGCTCAGTCCTTTGGCTGGGCTTGGCTGCTTCTACCCTTCCTCCTTCCACTGTTTAGCCCATACTTGGGCTTGCTTCCTTTAGTCAGCTGCCAGCACTTCACGGATGTCCTAGCGGCATAACAAGTCAGCTGAGCTTACCTTGCAAAGAGCAACAGGCTATTATGGAGCTTGGTGAAGAGAAACTAATCATTAACATAGCATTTATTTGTATTTTGTTTGCTGTTGTGATGGCAGCTGTTGCAGGGAAACCAGAACTTGCTTCACTCTAGTTGTTGGGGTGTAGCTTGTTTACCATGCTGCAAAGGCAATCCAAGGGGCTATGTAAAGGGTCAGGTAGTGATTTGAATTTAGCGCAGTGCAGCTATATTAACAGCAGGACTCAGACTGATTTGTTTAAAGCTGTCCTGGATGTGCCTACCTGAGCATACAGGGCTGGAGTTAGTTTAGGTTAGTCTCTCTTACCTGTATTAGTGTAAAAGTTAGATGACACCACAAAGCTAGCTAGCTATACTTGCTTTATGGGGTGGAAAGGAGAAAACCTCTGGGTAGTAATTAAGCCCATCTGATTTAGACATCTATTTTAGATTATACAAATAATCCCCTGCAAGAATACTTCTCCTGTAAAAGGAGCTGAGATGACTAGCTTTGATTTACTAGCTCAAGTTGGGTGAGATAAATCCTAACCACCCATTCAGTCATCTCTTTGCATTGGGTGTGACAGGGGAACAAGCGAACTGCATCTATTATCAGGAGTACATCCACTCTGCAGTTCATACCGTGTCATCGGGCATCAGAAGGCCAACTGCTTTGTTTATTTCTGTTTTGAAGTTCAAGATAAAATTATAAACACATTTGCTGTAACACTTTCTTTGATAAACAACTTTACATAAACTTGTCTGCCTACTTCTTGCCTTTAAAAGGGAGACTGGAGGAACTGAAATAGGCCAATCCTGTCTTGTCCGCCTGGAACTGCATGAACCTGACACTGAGCTGTGCCCACTCTCCATCTGCTTATTGCTGAGGAGAAGGGGTAAAAACTGGGGAGTGCTCTCCATTTGCTTAGGAAGGAAGGGTCTTTCCGTGTCTCTCTACATGAAGTCTCTCTACATGAAATTTATCATGAAGTCCAGGAATAATTAGAGTTTGAGGATTATCTGCTGCATTTGTTATTGTGATTAATATATTCTGAGTCTCTGTCAATCACTCTGCTTCGTTCAATGACATGCATATTGCTGCATATTGCCACATATTGGCACGTGATCTAAGAAAACACTGCTTTCTCTGATTTTTAATAATTATTCAATGATGTCATTAAAGTTTTTATGGAAGCTTTTCCCCCTGTATGGTGTACATGACATACTCAAAAGACAATAAACAGAAGACGAACTGTTTAGACTGAATTAGGTTTGAACTCCAGCACTCTGAGTGTGGTAGCATTAACACTCCAGCAGTGTTAAGCCTTTACACCACCTGCTTTCCCTGTTTGTGTTACACTTCTTTTCCTGTGCTTGCTTCTATTGGCCTTTCACTCTGACAGGCCCAGTTACTCACTCCTCCAGTGTGCCAGCCTGTCCAGTTGACTCTCATTCTTTAAAATCCTAAGTAACTTGCCTCTTAAAGGAAAAAGAAGCACTGGGGCTCAAGAAGCAAGCCGTCCATTTGACTTTGCATTTATTTATGGTACAAAAGGCAGGATTGCCTGCATTGAATACCAGCATTGAATGTTCTACATTTGTGCATATGAGAAGTTGCAGGGCAGATGTTGGTCTCCTGTTGCCATGATTTATTTTGCCAGGTGTGCAACAACTCGGCTAAAGAAACCATATGTTTCTCTGGCTTTGTACCAAGAAGTAAAACCTTTTTTTTCTGTCTTTATTTTTTTTTTTTTTGTTAAAAGAGCTCAAACAGCTGAAAATTAAAACTAGAATCAAAATAATTATTCAACAAGCTCTATAGGGTTGGCTTGGTATTTATTTTCTCTAAGTCATATTTCTTTGATGTAAATTAAAAAGTACATGCTAAGGTTACACAGATTAATTTGCTTGGCATGGCAACATGCACTAGAAAGGCCAGAGTCCAGCTCAGCTGCATTAAATAGGTAATATATTTTGTTTCAAGTTTCAATTAAAGCCTGGGGTCAAAAGATAAAATGGTCCCTGTGGGATCTTGAACACTTTAATGCCAATATTAGGATTGCTTAAGGTTCAGACTCTGCTCTAGATGGCTTTTGCATTTCTTGAAATCTGATACTGTACGGTTGATTGTATTACATTGCTTTTTAAACCACACTGGCCCACCTGCTACAGTAATTCATATTCCTGCCAGGTGAGTGGTGTGAGGTGGACCATGGAGGCTTTATTTTAATACTGAACAGTAACAAGAAAGATGTTGGGGTGGCATTGTTCAGGTTTAGACTGGCAGGATACTGTCATAAGGACAAATGTTTTTATGACGCTTCCTCTGCCCTTGTAAGCTAACATTCGATTGTCTGTTTTAAAATGCATTTAATGCAAAGTCTTACAGATATTTGTTAATAAGAAATGCAAGTCACGAAGGAACCTAACATTGCAGGAATTAATACAGTTAATGATGCGCAAATTAGAGTTTAGATTTCTCTTTACTAATCTGCTACATTGCACATGGACAGAAAACAAATCGTACACAAGTGGCAGCCAGGTACAGAGCAGGAAAAGGGAGCCAGATTTTACATCTGGTGCAGAGGTTTGCATCGTAAGTACAAAGGCTTAGCATGCAGAGAGACTTTCCATGTTGATGATTATAACATAACTATTGCTTCATTTGATTATGCTTTTGGATGGATGTGGCTGTTTGTACAAACCTGTTAATATTGTTAAGGCTCCTATCCCATTTGCCCCTTGCTCCCATTAAATGTTTTTTTATTGAATTACTTTTAAATATTGTTTAGAACTCCAAGAAACACTTTTGCTGGTATAGTTTTACAGTTCATGCTGTGCAAGACTTACTTACTTTTTAAAAGCCAAAGTTGATTAAGCTGTGAAATACATATCCCACATCGTAACTCATGCAGAGCATGGTACCTGCACTGATCTGAGCTCCAGTCATGCTTCCTATGCATCTCATGAAGCTTTACTGGTAATTTCTTACTAAATGTACTCTACAAACTTTTTTTTTTCTTTTAAAACTATCTTGGTCAAAAAAAGGTGGGGTTTGGTGTTTTTTTTTTTCTTTCATATGTATATTTTATTACATGTTCTAGAGAAGTAAGAATGGACTTCACTCCAATGGTTAGGGAAGTAAAATTCTGTGCTTCCTTCTCTACCCTTCCCTATTCCCATCCTACTACTTTAACCCTTCTTCCTCTGAGAGCTTGCAGACTATGGTAGTTTATATCTGCTGGCCAAAGCTGTGTATAAATCTCCAGGCTGATTGCAGCGTTTCCTGTTTTTTCACTTTGTTTTGTTTGAGGGATTCAAGCTGAGTGTGAAGGTTACAGCAGTGGATTGCTGAGCGGGTAATAGATGCACTGTCTGAGACCAGGGTCATTTGTTGGGTTTTTTTTCCCAGAAGACCTGAGAGGTCTTCCTGGTTTTATCTCTTTGGACGATTGATGC